ATAATATGTCATAATAAATAATTTTAGTTGCTGAGGAAGTCTCAAATAGAGACGAAACGTTCAACGGATAAATATTGTGTTCATCTTAATTAAACCCGTCCAAAAAACAACTTCCCTAAGAGTAAACTTAGTAATAATATTAATAAATTTTGGATAGGAAAAAAGAAAAAATCTTGATTATATTAACATTTAAATATATATTTAAAAAGAAATTTTAGCTACTTTCTGAAATAAATCGAAGGTAAAAACTATAAAACTTCTACAAAAGTGCTGTATAACTAAAGCTATAAAACGTTTTCTTTTAAGTTTTAAAGCGTAAACTGACAGAAATAAAAAGTGGTTAGTCCGAAATATTTAACAAACATTAGTTATATTTAAATAACTCTTGTCCAAAAAAAAAGAATAAATTATTTTATTACAACTTTTATTGGTTACTTTATGTTCGGCGATATTTACGGTGTTTGAATGGTTTATATTGCGCGCGGAATAGGATAGGCGGCGTAGACGTTAAAAAGGTTGTGAAGGCGCGCAAGGGCTATCGAAATGCGTGCGGGCGCGCCTTATCATGCAAGAGACATGGGAGAGCGCCTTGAGGTGTGTGGAGGGGATAGTATGCGCGGGGCCTTGTGCACGCACCTCAATCTCATTCTGGTATTGACTCTGGTTTGAGCTAACAACAGTGTGTTTCCAATCTTGATCTTCTCGCCATCTTGGCTTTTGTTCTAGGCAACGTGGCTAGAGCGTGTGAGAGTTAGTTAGGAGTGTGTGGAGTTGTCTGGTGGTTTGTTCCCAACAGAATTGTAGTCGGAATGTTGCAGCGAATTATCTGCATCTTGTCGCCAGGCTACTAACGTGGACTTGTAGTTGGACTGTTGTAGCGAATTATCTGCAACCTGTCGCTAGGCTACCAACGTGGTCATCTAGTCGGACAGTTGTAGCGAATTATCTGCAACCTGTCGTCAGGCTACCAACGTGGGCTTGTAGTCGGACAGTTGTAGCGAATTATCNTGTCGCCAGGCTACCAACGTGGGATAAGGTTCTGGCCAGACAGGCCATCGTTAGGTGCGATAAGAAACAGCGTGCGTTCGGTTGTCGCCTTGCGTCAGAAGCGAACGGTAAGAGAGCTCTCTAGCGTGCGACCAAAAGGTACCTCGCGTCGTTATTCTAATAATATATTTACTTTTCAGCCTTTTATTTGTCATTGTACGTTACACCAGTTTTATTAAATAAATGTTCTCTTGCCCCGGCTTTTCTCTGAATTCCGTGAGAGTTTTTATGTCGAGGCAAGTAGCTTTGTGCCGCGTAATCCTGTTTTGTTCATTTATCTATCCTGTCCTATCTCACTCATACTAGCGTTAAACTATTTAGTAGAATTTATTAGGAGATACTCGACCATTTTCTGGTCACCTATATAAATGCTAGAAATATTGGTGCCTCGGGTGGGGAATGAGTGATAGGTTGGATTGATAAATTCGTAAAATCGGAAAACGCTTGCGTCTTTTTTCCTCTGTTCTTTGTTGTGCACTTCTTTGTGGCTTTGTCTGAGTGTTGCGTCATCGTGCTTTGTCCGCGGGGATCACGTGGTGCGTTTTGATTCGAGACGTGCCACGTGTTAGGTCTTTACTTCCGACCGCACGTTTTACCCCCATTTGGCTAGGTCTTTACTTCCGGCCGCACGGTTTACCCCCACTCGGCTAGGTCTTTACGTCCGGCCACACGGCTTACCCCCACTTAGCAAGTGCTTTACTTCCGGTTGCACGGTTTACCCCTACTCGGCTAGGTCTTTTCGTCCGGCCACACGGCTTACCCCCACTTAGCTAGCGCTTTACTCCCAGCCGCACGGTTTCCCTCCACCTAGCTAGCGCTTTTACTTCCTTCCGCACGGTTCCCTCCACGTGGTTGGCCCGTTATTTCCGGCCGCTCAGGTTCCTTTTTCCGGTTTGAGACTTAGGCTGAGCATTAGGTCCATTGGTGGGGACGCGGACAGCGAGTAGTGGGGGCTCTAAATTTGGGACCACGGTGGAACGTCATAGCGCCGCGTTTCCTTGGTTACGGGTTAACGATCCGGGTACTCTAGCACGCGCGTTCTTTTCTTTTCCCTCTCCTTCGTCTACCGTTTTGGAGAGCAAGAGTAGGGACAAGACAGCAGCCCTCCGTGTTCTAGTTGTCGTTACATTTAGTAATCCCATTTTACGTTAGATTCGCTTATCATGTCTCCTGCTGCTTTGAATAAGTTGGTCGCCCTGCAGAGGACGCGTCTCGCCGAGCTTAAGAGTATCCATCGTCGATTAGTGGCTAGACCGCTTTCGTCCCTGGAGGTCGATCTGATTCTGCCGGGAATAGATGCGTTGGCTACGGTATTTGCGGCGGTGCGGCAGACCCACGAAGAGATCGCAGTTAGACCGGACGCCGTTAGCGACCCGTATATGATAAAGGATGAAATTGAGAAAATCCGTGAGGCATATGATGAGGCCTCCCGCGCGTTTGTAGCGTTGCGTCGACAGCTTATCCAAGCAGAGGCGCCCACCCCCACAAGGGAATCTTCCCACCCCCAGGGGTCCGGATTAGATCCGAGTTATTCGGAGATCCCAAAGATGTCTCTTCCAGAGTTTTCGGGCGATGAGGAGGATTGGGAGAACTTTTTTGACAGTTTTAGGTCTATGGTGCACGTTGCCCCGCGACTGGACGATACCACCAAGTTGCGATATCTAAAATCGTTCCTAGTCGGTGAGGCTGCAGGATGGATTAAAGATGTGTCGATTAGCACTGCGAATTATGCTAGCATTTGGGAGGCGTTAAAGGCACAGTATTATAATCCGATGCTCCTTCAGTTTAAAAAACTTCAGGGATTGTTCTGAATTCAGGATCTTCCGCGTCTTAAGAGGGAGTCCATCGCGGAGCTGCGTTTACTCCTTGATAGGATGCAGTGTATAGTTAGGTCTCTGAAGAATGCGGGTTGGCCGGTAGAAAATTGGGATAGCGTACTTTATTTCTTGCTCGTTACGCGATTGGACATGGACACGCGTAAGTCGTGGAATGCGGAACTCGTCTCGATGGAAGGGTTGAGCACAGCTTCAGGATCGAAGTCAGGAAGGAGAGGCGCCCCTGGGCCCTGCTTTATGCCCACGTTCGCGGAATTGGTCGGATTTCTCGAGAATAGGGCGCGGGTTTGTGCGGTGCAGGTGGAAGAACAAGGAAAAAAAAGGGTAGGCTCCCCTCCTAGATCAGGTCCTCCCCGCAAGATTCTCCATTCGAGGAGTCCGGGGATCACGCCTATGGAAACTGGAAGTGGTGTCCAGTGTCGATTTTGTTTTGGTCCACACCAGGTGACTAGGTGTGATCGTTTCAGGTCATTGGCGGTACCGGAGCGGAGGCAAGAGGTTAAGCGTTTGGGTCGGTGTTTCAATTGTCTCATGCAGCATTCTGTGAATTCTTGTCCCTCTAAGTGGCGTTGTTCCATTTGCAATGGCAAGCACCATACGCTCATCCATGCGCCCGGTACAGTAGAAACGCGGGAATCCGTTTTCAAAAGATCCTTGGGAGGTTCGGGAGGTGATGAGACTGGTTAGCCACCAGCGAGTTTGCATGCGGCTTGGTTTCGGGTAGTGTTAGGAGGTCTCTACTTGCTCCTGCACGAGTCTGGGTAGCAGGTATCCAGGGAAAGAGGCCGTGGTCACGAACGATACTGGCCTAAGGCTCGGAGGGTTTTTTATTTCAGAGACTATAGCGCAGTTACTCGGTTTGTCTAAACGCCGTAGTTATATGCCTCTTTCAGGACTTGGGACAGGAGACGTGGGCACCGCCTGCTCGGAGTTTCGAGCTACTATTCGGTCGGCAGTCGACACCACCTTTCAGGTCGAGGTGGATGCTTCGGTGTTGCTCAAATTAACTTCTCTGCTTTCTTCTGCCAATTTTACTTTCAGTGCTGTCGGAGAGCTGGTCAAGGACATTTCGTTAGACGATCCAGAGTTCGTCATTTTGAAGCGGATCAACGTGATTTTAAGTGCCGATGTTTACGGCCAATTACTCCGGTCGGCGTTGAGGAGATCCTCGACGTCGCGGCTCGTCGCGCAGGATACGGCGCTTAGGTGGATCTTCCCTGGACTGGTGGATGGAGGAGTTGCACAGCGGACGAAGGGGATAGCGGCTACATCTCCGACGCGAGGTGCAGCTACCATTGAAGCAGGAGCACCTCCAGGCGCAGCAGAGGCGCAGCGGATGGCTTTTAGCTCTCTGGTATCTAGCTCGAGTTTAATCGTAGGTTGCAAGGTTCGAGGTTCGAGGTCAGAGATCTTACGTCAGGAGGCACGGTGGGTACCTCTTCATGCAGGTGTACAGCAGAGTGATTCGAGGTGGAAACCAAGGTGGTATTCAACGCCTATCGACCACGAGAGGCGGATTCTTACTAAACTCTTCTCTATTAACAAATCTGTTGCAAAACTATCCCTCATTAATTCTATTTTATTGGCGCAGGTACCGGTATTCCGTTCTTGCGGATGTCATTGAGCTGTTGTGACAATTTTTGGTTGTACAAGAGCCTCAGGATTAGTAAAGGTTTATCTGTCACCGGAGCTTTGTCGGACACTGGGAAATTTCGTTAAATAGGACCACTGATGGCGTTGCTTGCGCTCCTATTTGGCTATTTGCGCTCTGTCACCACGTTTTCGACACGAAGATTTTCGCTAGGTCCCGAAAAAGGACGAGTTTAGGATAAAGCTCACCGGCCGAGATATTGAGGCTGGATAGTTGGCTATTGAAATGGAGATGGCTAGGAGGTATTGCTAACTTTTCACACTAGATACCTAGTTCCTCGGATGCTTTGTTGCGCGCGTACGCCGCAACGATATAGGTGTGTATGGCGGGGGGAGTTGGAAACCTTCGGGTGTCTATTACCTTCAAAATCGAAGGTAATTCTGGTAAAGACTGTGAGTATTTTTAATTTAGAACCTTGTGGAGCAGCTCTTCTCGTTAAGCTTATCCTTCATCTAACTTGTTTGGACTTCTTACAGAAGTGCCCAATTTAGCCTGGTCAGATAGCCAGATTGTGCTTACTTGGATGCGTTTGCATTCAGGCCACCGGAAAACCTTGTAGCTCACAGTGTCTACCTTGGTTCAGGACGTCGAGTTGGTTACTTTGCCGAAAAATCGGTTAAATAGGTTTCAACTTCTTCTGCGCGTCCGCAATAATTCTTGGAAGCGGTGGTCGAACGAGTACTTGTTGCACTCACAGGGCAAGGGAATTGGAGAGATCCTTGAGAGAACTTCAGAGTAGAGCATCTTGTATTGACTCGGGATGATCAGCATCCTACCTCAAGTTAGCCGTTGGGAAGGGTCACCTAGTTGTACCCTGGCCCTGACGGGTTGGTGCGAATCATAACCATCAATACCAGCACCTCTTTGCGCCAGCGACTCATTGCGCGCCTGTGCCCCCTCAGGTTGGACGATAGTGACAGTTGAGAAAGCCAGTCAACAGCAGCTCGGTTTGATTCGTCAGTATGACGAAGGCGGGCGGGATGTTCAGCGATATTAACGGTGTTTGAATGGTTTATATTGCTTGCGAAATAGGATAGGCGGCGTAGGCGTTAAAAAGGTTGTGAGGGCGCGCAAGGGCTATCGAAATGCGTGCGGGCGCGCCTTATCATGCAAGAGGCATGGGAGAGCACCTTGAGGTGTGTGGAGGGGATAGTATGCGTGGGGCCTTGTGCACGCACCTCAGTCTCATTCTGGTATTCACTATGGTTTGAGCTAACAACAGTGTGTTTCCCATCTTGAGCTTCTCCCTATCTTGGCTTTTGTTTAGGCAACGTGGCTAGAGCGTGTGAGAGTTAGTTAGGAGTGTGTGGAGTTGTCTAGTGGTTTGTTCCCAACAGGATTGTAGTCGGACAGTTGTAGCGAATTATCTGCATCTTGTCGCCAGGCTACCAACGTGGGCTTGTAGTTGGACAGTTGTAGCGAATTATCTGCAACCTGTCGCCAGGCTACCAACGTGGGCTTGTAGTCGGACAGTTGTAGCGAAATACCTGCAACCTGTTGCCAGGTTACCAACATGGGATAAGGTTCTGGCCAGACAGGCCATCGTTAGGTGCGATAAGAAAYAGCGTGCGTTCGGTTGTCGCCTTGCGTCGGAAGCGAACGGTACGAGAGCTCTCTAGCGTTCGACCAAAAGGTCCCTCGCGTCGTTATTCTAATAATATATTTACTTTTTAGCCTTTTATTTGTCATTGTACGTTACACCAGTTTTATTAAATAAATGTTCTCTTGCCCCGGCTTTTCTCTGAATTCCGTGAGAGTTTTTATGCCGAGGCAAGTAGCTTTGTGCCGCGTAAACGTGTTTTGTTCATTTATTTATCCTGTCCTATCTCACTCATTCCAGCGTTAAAATATTTAGTAGAACTCATTAGGAGAAACTTGACCATTTTCAGGTCACCTATATAAATGCTAGAAACACTTTACGTAAAGAATTCTATTCTTTTTGGACTAAATTCGATTGTAGTCAACCAAAAATCTATTCTGTTTAGTTTTTAATAGCACATTTTTACCGTCGCTTGAAATATTTTAATATATTTAAAAGAAATTTTCGCTACTTTGTGAAATAAATCGCTGTTTAGAACTATAAAATTTCTAAAAAAGTTCTATTTAAAAGAAGCTATTAAACGAATTCTTTCAAGATTTAGAGCGTATTCTTACAAAGAAAAAGTCTTATGTGCAACAAACTCTAGAAAATATTATTTAGATTTTAACCACTGCAGTCCAAAAAAAGAGAAAGAATCATTTTATTTAACCTTTTTTTGATTTCTTCACGTAAAGAATTTAATCTTTTTTCAACAAAACTCGATTGTAATTAACCTGACATTAATTCTGTTTTGTTTCTATAGCCCATTTTTACTGTCGCAAAAATATTAATATATATTAAAAAAGAATATTTCGCCACTTTCTGGAATAAATCGAAAGTAAAAACTATAAGATTTCAACAAAAGTGCTATATACCTAAAGCTATAAAACGTTTTCTTTCAAGTTTTAAAGCGTAAACTAACAAAAGTATAAAGTATTTAGTCCGAAATATTTAACAAACATTAGTTATATTTAAACAACTGTAGTCCAAAAAAAAGAAAAAATCATTTTATTACAACTTTTATTGGTTACTTTACGTAAAGAATTCAATTCTTTTTCGACTAAAATCGATTTTAGTTAATTTACATCTATTCTTTTTAGATTCATATAAAATATTTTTAACTTCGCTAAAATTTTTTTTATATATATTTAAAAGAAATTTTTGGTACTTTCTGAATAAAATCGTAGTTAAAAACTATTTAATTTCTAAAAAAGTGCTATATACCAAAAGCTTAAAAACTTTTGTTTTCAAGTTTTTATGCGTGTACTAACAAATAAAAAGTTTTATGTCTGACAAAATCTAGCATATATTATTTATATTTCAACAACTGCAGTCCAAAAATAGAGAAAAAATCATTTTGTTACAAATTTTTTTTGTATCTTTACGTGAAGAATTCAATTCTTTTTCAACAAAACTCGATTGTAATCAACATGACAATAATTCTGTTTTGTTTCTATAGCCCATTTTTACTGTCGCAAAAATTTTTATATATACTTGAAAAGAAATTTTCGCTCCTTTTTGGATTTAATCATAGTTAAACAATATAAAATTTTAAAAAAAGTGCTATATAACAAAAGCTTAAAAACATATTTTTTCAAGTTTTTAAGCGTTTACTTACAAAAAAAAAGTGTTAAGTCCAAAAAAATT